GCGGCCAGTTGGCGACAGCCCCAGCTCAAATTACTCGGGTAACAGCGTTTGATAATGATGGCGTGGAAAGGACGTGTCTTAGACGAACTTTTGAACGCAACCGTATCAATGCAATGAGGTTGCCATATATGTCTAACTATCGACTATCTTATCCACTACGTCGGAATAAAGTTGCATGCTAGGGGTACGAGGTATTCGTACCCAAGTTTACATAGTCGCCATCAGATCACTTAGTTAGGCCCCAGCACCAGTGAAGCGCCCTTTCGAGCCGCAACAGCAGAACATCTGTGATACTCGTGGGCTACTCTATCCCACCAAAGAGCGATTCTTCGACACGACCACATCCGGATTCTCGCTCTAACTAGACCAATCAGTAAGAAGATAAATAAGAGATGATTTCAGAAAGACCAACCTTGACGCCTTCAATCTCAGTTTTAAACTGTCTGAATTGGTTGATAATCTTCTCGTGCTTCTTCCAATCGTAACTCTTCAACCAATACTGCCTGAATACCTCCAATTCGTTGGAATTGAATCCATACCAGAAATCATCTGAGTCTTCTAGATGGGTGTGACTGATACGACTCCGTTCTAGCCGTAGTTTCAGATCCTACAAATTTATATTCAGGAATAAGAAGAAATTTATTTGCCCCTGAGAATAAGAGAACATTCGCTTTCCTGAGTGTTTCTTCATTTCTTCTGGAAAGGAAGGGAAAGGGAAGAAAATAAAATAAAGGAAATAAATGAAGGGGGAATAAAAATGGCTCAGAAATGTTTTTTTGCAAGTAATTCCCTTTCTCTGCCTTTTCATTCTCTTTCGGTTTTTAAAACCTTGATGGGAGACCTTTTATGAATTCCACTAAAATAACACATGCCCACTTACTTGGAGTGCATCTGGTGTGACATTCACTTCAAACGGGTACACGCTCAGATCATCTGGACGCACTTCACCTTCTCCAAACCAACCATTCTCCTCCACTCTGACCTAAATTATAAGGCAGTGGCCGGCTTCGTGAGCGAAATAATTCTCTTCTCTCACTGTAGATTTTGAATGATGGTAAAACAGATACCTTTCGATGACTAAATTAAACAAAGTTTCACTCCTGGGAAGAGCTGCATTTTATGAATTGCAAACTTGTTCAAAGTTCTTAGGAAGGGATTGGATTGAAGTGACGCAGCTGTTGAAGCCAGTTCCATGATCAAAAATGTGTGATTCTAGCACGCGAAATGAAAGCAGGGGTGAGAAGTGGAATGGGTGAGAAAAAAGGAAACGAGTGCATCGAAATCGCGAAAATGAAGGGCTTACTAGGTTTAGTAATCCGGTTGTGCTGAAGTATTGAGACATTGAGAGGAAGAAGAGAGGGCAGGCAAGGAAGCACAACTGATGAGAAGTAGCAGACACCCGCATAGGCCTAGCGTCATGGTCGCGTACCTTTGGGACTGTGAGAGAGATTCGTGGAAGGTTTTGACCAGACCGCTAATAAGTTCACAATCAATGAGCTGATTGGAAGCTGGAAATCGTGGACTGACCTTTATTGGTAACCAACGTCATCATAAAAGTACAACAGCAATTGCTGCGGTAACCGCGTTGTGACATTGTCCGAAATCGCTTGTTCTTTAAGATGCAAAAAAAAAGAAATGCTTCATCGGTCATATAATGTATGCTATACGAAGTTATTACGCATGTTTGGCTTCATTTCAAAATTGCGTAGCGATGTTGCAAGACCGGCGAGGGCAATTGCAGTGACCCATTTTGAGCCAAGGCTTCAATTTTTGACCTTACGGTCGACTTGATGAGTTTGAATCTGACAATAAGTAAAAGAAAGTGATCTGAATCGTCAAGGTGCAGTGGGCATGCCCTCTAATATATATCCTAGGTCTGCAGAGCGCAAGGGCATTTGCGGAGTATTTAATCACGGAAGGACCTTCTTACAAGGGAAGGATGGTAGGTCGAAGTGGCCGTTCGAAATGAAATGTATACCTCCTGATGCGTCTCCAGACGCTGATTCCAAATCTGCCTTCCAAATCTGCTAAACGACTCTCCGAACGGAGTTATGAAGCGTAATAGCTCAGTGGTGATGGTCCGGGTGGCAGGTAAAAGCTCGTAGGATCGGTTCCTTTGCAAATTGGTTGCTTTGCTTTTGTCTCTAGAAGTGTTGCGGACAAAAGCAAAGCAACAAACTTGCAAAGGAACCGATCCTACGAGCTTTTACCTGCCACCCCGGACCATCACCACTGAGCTATTACGCTTCATAACTCCGTTCGGAGAGTCGTTTAGCAGATTTGGAAGGCAGATTTGGAATCAGCGTCTGGAGACGCATCAGGAGGTATACATTTCATTTTGAACGGCCACTTCGACCTACCATCCTTCCCTTGTAAGATAAAATTTAAGATATCAAACTTCTTTTAGCCGTGATTATCGTGAAAATGATATGATGACGTGTAACTCACGCAGTAGATTACTTTTCAAACAATCGTGCAAACCACAGTAAATACTGACCTCATCAGTAGGAGATACATAAGAAACGTAGGCGAGGTATGATCCGCAAGCAAGTGCCACAGCGAGAAACACGTGCAATACTAAGCCCATCTCTAAGAGATCAGAGCGTGAGCCTGAATTAAGACTTCCCAAGCGACAATTTTAAATCATAGGCCAAATAAAAAAAACGAGCCGAACAAAGAAATGATAAGAACTAAAATGAAATAGAACTTGAGTAATCAAGTTTACCCAATCAAAAATGAAGTACAATCATTTGCTACAGCCTCCAGCCTCACCGTTTCATGACCGATATCGGCTAACCGGCTCACCTGTCCTAAGTGTGAGTGCTGATATGCTACGGTAAATATGTATACCATGAAAAGTTGGCTGAAGGCAAAACGGCGTCACGGTAGGGAAACCTGGAGCGCACCTATCCGGTAAGCAACAGGAGCGGGTCCGAGTCCCACTTGCACGAAAATATTGTTCTCAACCACGATTCTAACTAAAATTCCGCAAGGCGACTCTTGGCAGCCTGCCACAAAAAACCAGCAATAACAATGAAAAGGAGTCAAAATAAAATTATAGAAAAGTTATTCCTCCGAACCATTTACGCGTCAATTAAAAGGGGTGGAATTTTCGCATAGTATTTAACGTATTAAAATTTGCCTGTGAAATTTTTCTTCTCTAGAATTCTTTACATAAAGCAGTCGTCTTCAAGGTAACCACGTCACTCTCCTATTCTTACCGCATTTGTTATGTTCGACATGTAATTGAATTTAATTAAATAAATTGAACTATTAGTGTACTATATAATTTATTTATATATACATTCAAAACAATGTTATACAACATTTTACCAATATTTTATACATCACAATTCCTTCATCATTATCCTGATCACACGGTCTTCTATCAATTTAATGTTATGGTCGAACTTTTTTGTAGGTTTAAGTTGTTTCAAGAAAGCCTTAGGCGACCCCCCCTCCCCCCATCCTCTACCATCCTTCTACCTGTGGGTCGACTATCCAGTTACACAGTGAACTGTGGCGCTGAAGAAGCCCGAAGAACGGCTTGGAAAAAGTGTGCAGCGCTTTTCTGCTGCCTGGTCGATCAGTGGTTGAGAAGTATGATCGAGGGGATGGGGGTGCAGGGTAGTGGTTCAGCCCCCCGTTCTTATTAAGCAAAACAGTGATGAGCAAAGTGATAACGAGAGCTAGGAGGATAGTCAAGAGGATAATTAATTGGTCAGTTGCTCCAATATTCCCAACGTGCAATTCTTTAATCCCTTACCGCTTCACACACCATTTTCACGAGTTGATAACGAGAGGGGCTTGCCCAATGTTTCCTGGGAATTATCAACTGTCAACTGCGCTGTTCTGAGAAAACTCTGCTGTTTCTTTTTGATAGTTTTTTTACAGTTGACTGATGGATTCTGGCCGCAGTTCGCCATACGAAATTTATCTGATTATATCAGCTGTTAATATTTAGTAACAATTACCGTCGGCACTGATTTTAGGTCCAAGTTATGAGTGTTAAGCAGTGTACGAACTTTTATCGAATATTCCTCGGATTCACACAAGTCGTGAAGTTAACAAGTCTATGCCAGGCGCTGGCCTATCCCTCCCTGCTTGCTTCGCTGATTGATTTCGTCGGTGTAGAAAGCTGTCATGAAGTATGCTGACAGATTGGAATGCTCCCTTCGAGTTTAGGTTTTTTTTGGTTTTTTTGCTTCTTTTGGAGGTCTTCTTCGGTCAGGAGCTTACGGTTTGAGTTTAGCATCATGCGATTAGTGCCGTCTTGAACGTGGAGCGAAGTGTCTTTTTTGCCACCCCTGTAGATGAACCCCCTTACTCTAGGCTCAGAAGCCCGAGTCAAGATAAAGACAATATTTATGGAACTCAAGGGAACCCAAAGAGTAGCTGTGAGAGTTTGCCGAAGAACTGTGTGGTCTTCGCTTGGCCGTTCACCTTGTAGAGCTGATTTGAAACGTGTATTTACAAGCTAGATCGTTGCCCTCTGAAACCACGGCAATGTACGGAGCAGGTTAAAATGAAAAGGAAGTGACGTCAGTTCAGGAGTAGTATAAAGGCTCCATAGGACTATTTTATGCATAGGTTCTTTAGCCGCAAACTTGAAAAGCAAGTAGTATTATCAACATATTTATTTGCTGGAACTAACTCTTGTTAAAAGAAATTCTCATGAGTGCTTCGATCGGGTTGATGAGCGATGTTTCCTCCCACAAACCAGTTGTTCTAAAGATATGAGAGATGTTTTGAACTACGACAGCTACGCTCAGCAGGCAATTAATAAGCTGCAAAAGTATGGATTACAGAAAAAACGAACTCAGATTAAAAATCGGTTTGTTATGGGATGCACCGCGAACTCGATATACCAAAAAGGAAGAAAGACTGACAGATTGTCTAGCCTATGGAGTGATTCCAATAGATTTGATTTTCCAGCCATTATTTTCCCTGTTACCTATCTCGTAGTGTAATACCTGCGTGGACAAACGCCAACTCCCCCGATGTTACCAACTACAGAGCGATAAAAAGTCTCTACTGGCCACTTTGATCTACATACGTACTTGTATACAACAACTTCTACATCAATTGAGCGCAAAATGCATGTAAATTCTATTTCTCTGAAGTGCAGTAACATTATTTTCCGGAGCTACCCATGGCAGACATCAATGGGTATGCGCTCCAA